GTATCTCTCTAAATATTTTTTTAAATATTGCTTAGGAACTCAATTCTGCAAATGTACTCAACATTTTTTTGAAATTGAGTTTTCTCCATTACTTGCATGTTTTAAATTTAGTATCAAGAAAAGATGTAATTGTTAACTTCTAGAATCTTTCTTAAAACCTGTAAAAGAAAGTGTTTCTATTTTTTTTTTGTTTGCCCACATGGAAAACTTTTATAAGATAATCAATGTATGGGGGGAGCCCAGGTAAATGTTCAAAACCACAAGAAGTGTTTTTTGATCAATGGTGGTCTTGCAGATTATCATTGATGTGATTTATTGTGTGTCTGTAGCAAGCTGTTCAGTAAAGACACTGTTTTGCAACTATTGCAAGACTGTTCCTTATGTTTCAGGAAGTCTGCCTGCTGTATTACAGTTTCTACTTAGGGTTTCGTCTTGATTTCTGGATGTCTTGGTCATTTCTTTGATGTAGTATTTTCTTGGAATATCCTGTGAATAAAAATCTTTGCTTTTTGCCCAGGAATTTAGCATTAAAGCTTACTATAGAAAACTAAAGGTTTCTATTTGTTGATTTCTGTTGCTTTTTTCTTTTTATTGCTTAAAAATAAGCTGATAAGCACTATAGCAGGAAGGGTATGTTTTACAGGACTTCCCTTGCTGCCACCACTGCATGGTTCTCCATATGAATGTTTCCCCAGATGTGGAAATTGCATGGCAATTTTTTTCAGTCTTCTAAGTAAAAGCTTCTGCTAATGCAAATGTCCTCTTTTTTTTTTTTCTATCTGAAATCTAGGATTAGCTGTACAGCTTGTCAGACAATAAAAAAAGTCCAAATCACCCTTACATTGTTTCCCGCTTTTGTTGTGTAGGCAGCTTAGACTTACTAACTTTTTCTTGGGGTTCTGGTTCACAGACTCTGAGTGTAGGTGTAAGAAACTAAGCTGTTACTTCAGGGTGTCTCACAGCCCCTCTTATAGAGAAGTTACTGCTCCTGCAGCACATAGGCAGGCACTGTGTCAGGTCCTCAACTTTTACAGACTGTAGCCTGGCGTTTTAGCACAAGGTGAAGTCTGTGGTTTAAGTAGTTGAACTATGTACCTGTTACTCAACTTTTGCAGCAAGGTGCTTCACTACAGGGGTGGAACAGACATCTCGGAAAGGTAATCAGTTCCGTTGCTTCCATGAAACACAAAAAGTATTAGGTATCAGGGCCTGAGAAAATGCATTACCAGATCTCCAGTTTCAGGATTTCAAACATTGCATTAACTAGGTTCAGCTTGATAACATAAATGGTCATGGCATCAGGAATGGTTGGAGGATCAGCCTTCATTTTAATGACCATTTATTTGGTTTTATTATTACAGAGGATGCTATCTTGTGGTGCTTTGGCAGCCATTGTGCCACACCTTATCTTTTTGCAGTTCATGTGCACATATTGTCAATCTAAGTTTTTAAGAAATAAATCCATAAAATGTATTAAACTAGTTTTAAAATAATATTTAAAGTCTTGTGGCTTTTTTTTTCTGATCCTTTGTGTGGTTCACTTATGGTGTTGGTATTTTTTCCACCTAATAACTGTTAAAGATTTAAATGAAGATAAATAAAGCTATTTTAATTTTTCATAGAAAATTGAAATTTCCTGATAGTTATTTCAGGAACACCCATCAGCTATTAAGGCTAGAAGTAGAATAGCAGTTAAGTGGCAGCAATGTACCTGTTACACCTGAAGAAATTATTTACCTTCATCCTCTCTCCATTTTCTAGGCAATCAGAAATGTGTGCATTGGGTGTACTGATAGCGTTGGCCCATCCACACTTTATTTCTGAGCAGGGATGGAAAGGATTTTTACTTTTTTTGTGTGTGTAGGTGTGATGAGTTGCATGAATAGGTGCAACTAAAAGCGTGATTCAAAGGGATGTCTTCAGTTGTGTCCTACCAGCTCTTCCTGCACTTCTTACCTGTGTAGATATTCAGAAATATAACTACTAATACAATTTCAAATACTAAACAATCTTTTAGTTACTGCTTTTGTCCATTTCTTTAATGCATACATAAGGATAAAGAGTTGGACCTAACAAGGTAAGCTGCATCTTCTGACCTTTGGGAAGTTCTGTCCTAACTGCTGAACACAGTGAAGGGGAAAGAAAATTCAGAACAGTATTGTATCCCAGCTCTGTGTCTGCTCAGACACTATGCAAGTGTAAGAGATTATTTTTAGTATTCTGATTCCCCCTTGTAAATAATTGAAGTATTTAATTTGATTAAGTAAGGTTAGTAATTTTTTTTATAAATAGAAAGTAGTCCAAACTAGTCTTTGTTGACATACGTTCGGACACTGATTCATCACAGCATATAAATATGTGCTCGTTAGTGGCCCTTTTTTATTAAACTGGGTATGGATTCTTCAGCTGTAGATGTGAAATCATTCTAAGCAGTAACCAAATTTCATTCATTCACTTACCACTGCCTAAAAGAGAAATTTTTCAAAAGAGTAGGAGAAATGTCAAACCCATTGGTTGGAGAAGCCCTAACTTGTATAGTTGATTATTCTACACATACTTTCAATCAAGTATTATTAGATAACAAGAGGGCAAGTTTGCTTGTCATGTAAACAAACAGGAAAGCTAGCTTTTTACAGTCATCTTATATATGCTGAAGCAACACTTAAATATACTTTCTATTCTAAACTGGTCTATTAATTTTAGTGACCTGGAGTAAGCTGAAATACATTGTTCTTATAGCATGGGTGGAGAGATGAGCTGAGCATATCTAACCCATCACTGCTGCTGAAAGGGGCTGTTCTTCTGCCAGCTGTGTGGCCCTGCCTCTTTCCTTATATCAGCCCCACCACTTTTCTGACGCCTTGCTGAGCTGGTTTGGCTCATTAGTCTAGCATAGGACCAAGTCATCAGAATAGAAGAAACACTAGTTCTCTCCCTGCTTTGTGAGTTGTGTCAGCTAGCTCAGCTCATGAAGGGGTCTTACAGGTTCTGGAGTCACACTGGAGAAGCAGGAAGTAAAAAGATCCCTTTCAGCAAGTTAGCTGTCTGATGGGACAAGCTGTGTTAAACGGCCTACACCTTCACCCTGTAAGGAACAGTAACTGAGGTGGAATCATAATGCTTGCAGTGGATACTTGTGCTAATATGTACATTGGATTCTGTCTAGTAACAGGAAAGGTTAGTAATGTCTGCAGGAACATACAGTGCTGCACAAATAGATATGTTCCTCTGCAAACTGCTAGAAGGTCCATTCATTCTGCTTTGGTACAACTGTGAGAATTTTCAATTGTAATTGTATGGTGAAAAGAAAGTGTTTGAAAGAGGACCAGTATTGCTTGAGTGCCAGGATATACCTTTATATATCTTTTGTTTCTTTTGGAAATATGTTTCCAAATTGCTAACATAATTTCTTAAACTGAAGTAATTAATATGCAAGCAACTGTTCAGCAAGGTAAAATAACTGCTTCTGTCTCGAAAAATATTTTGTTTGAAGTTAAGGACTTGAATAATAAAGAAAAAAATGTCCTTTGGATTGTTCAAAACTGGATTTGTAATATTTTTTTCCCTCCCATTAAGGTCCTCGATGCCTCAACACTCAGCCTTGGTACTCGTGTCAGATGGTTTGCCATATGTTTTGTCGCCGGCATTGTGTGTTCTATTCTTGTAAGTAAAGTGATTCTGTGTTTGCTTTATCCTGTATCCTAAATTTTCTATCCATAAATTTAACTGGACATTAAATGTATAATTAGCGTGTGGGAGCTGTGGTTCCATAAATGATGATTTTGACCACCTTTCTTCCATTCAGAGCAGAGATCATTTTTATTGTAGTGTAATAACATTTCTTACTAAAAGGTTTGAACACTGACAAATATGCTATATTTTTAATTTAGATTTGTGACGGGTGTTCTAGGAAAGAGCTTTTTCTGTTTTTCAGTGTGTACTCATTTTTATTCTCTCCAATAAAAGGAGAAAAGGAGGCAGAAGCTTGAAGGGTTTTTAAAGGCTGAAGAAACCACCAGTATAACCTGTCACACTCACAAGTCAATAGGTGATGACTGTGGTAGCACGTTGACACTTGAAAAACCTGATGCACTCCTGTTGATCTTACAGCCAGCAAATCATTTGTTCGTTCTTGAACTTGAGGTGTTGGCAGGAGGCTCCAGCCTGCGGTTAAAAGTTGAGATCTGTTAATTGATTTGGTCTATCAAAAGCTGGCACAAGTAACTTGCAGTACAAAGCAATTCTTCATCTGCATGGAAAGTCCCAGAAGCAGGTGAAATAACATTGGGGAAGTATCCAGACTGCTGGTTTTGCTCTTTTTCTTTCCTTTAGTTCTTTTTTTTTTTTTCATTGTGAAGTAGTATGTTAGGTCTTCACAGAGCATGACTTCTGATGTGAGCTAGTCAGCAGCCTTTGGCTAACGTGTGTGGATGACATTTGCAGTTTTTGCCAAGACTGTCAGGCAGATTGCCTTGACTTGTAATGCATTCTGGTGGTAGGATGGAGAAACTTTCCCTGTGTTTATTAGTTTCTGGTTTTGCCATTTCATTTTGCTCTTTCATTTAGCATGAAAAGTTCTTAAACACAGGAGACTTACATAATGACAGGAAGAAGCTGTGGAGGAGCAACCTGTTGATAGTTTGAGGCATTCACTTAGAGATAGCCACTCACTGAATTCTCCTGCAGGTGGAAGCTTCTGGCTCTTTATCAAAACTTGCAGTTTGTTAGACTCCCTGGGACCCAGAGGTAAACCAGAACAATTGCTGGTCTTAGCTATGAGAGGTCTTATTTAAGTGGTGATTAGCTCAATAAAGGAACTGGAGAGTGGCATTCTTCATGTTGGCATCTGTCAAGTACAGTGACACAAGCTCTGGCCACATGCTTGTGTTAGAGAAGAAGTAAGCTCTGGAGAGGGAGCTCAACATTGGTTTGGAATATCCCTTTTTTAGGGTTGCTTAAGCATTCTTTGGTGGACTCCCTCCCCCCCCTCCATTTTTTTCGCAAGTAATATTTAACCAGTATAATCACAGATTTTAGTACGCTCCACATTTGTGCTTTTACACCTATTTCTGGACAGTTTAACGTCACTCTTTTTGCTGCAATTTTTTTAGTGTTTAATTTGTGTGCCTATTCTATATCCCATGGTGTGAAACTATGAAACAACACATAAAAGGCTTTAGGATATTGGTTTCCTGAAGTTTCCTTGAGTTATCTTGAGCTCGGTAAGAGTCAAAACTCTGAATAGTGTGTTTGTGGACCTCGAATCTTGTAGACAGCTCTCCAGCTAAGCTTTGCCACATGAAGCTGAGAACTGGCAGCTCCATCTTCTTCTGCTTCAGATTATGGATTTTTTTGTATATTTATTTGGCTGGCCAAAACTGCAGGTGGTGTTTTTCCTTTAGTCTTTGCAAAGTGTTCATCAGCTTTCCTTGTAGAAACAATTACACTCTTCTTTGCAGCTTTCCATGGTTGCTTGTACTGTGGACTGCAAACTGACACCACAAATTTCCACTGAAATTGCAATTGGGTAGAATATAGTTACTTTTTTTTTTGGCAGGACACAGTGTCCACATCACAGCTTTAAAAAAAAAAAAGAAGAGGAGTTAAAAAAACAAACTTTAAAAAAACATGTTTTGCTTCTAATTTAGGCTCTATTTCTCCCTGATCATCATAGGGACTGTGATCAGCAGAAGGCTTTGGATTTTTTTGTGTTTAGTGGAAATAAGAGATGTCTAGAAGTAAGAGTTCTAAAATATTTCTATTCAGCCCCAGTGCATATCTAGACTACGAGTGCAGATGGTTGATTGGAGGAAAAAGGAGATGGTGGATGTTAGTGTGGCTTTATATTTTTTTCCTTTGTGTGCAGACATGTATGATGTATGGTGGGGCATTGTAACAAAACTGAAAGTGTCACAAATAAAATATAAATGGTACAAGTAAATGTTATAAACGATATAAATAGGCATTGCCTACTTGTAAAAATACTGTGAAATATAGTAAATCAATACATTATTTTGTCTGTAGGTGGCAGTAGAAGTAAGCTGAACATTACTACAAATCTGAGAACAGTATACTCTGCTAGTGTATGTAAAATTGACATTTTTTGTAGTTTGAAAATATATTTATAGACTATAAAATATAAATAAATTAACTAATTAAAAACGTTTGAATAACCTATCTTTTATAGGGAACAGCATTGCTATGGCTCCCAAAGGGGATCAAACTTTTTGCAGTGTTTTACACCCTGGGAAATATTGCTGCATTAGCCAGGTATGATCTCTTAATTATTGTTATTAGACAAGTATCCTCCTTTTCATCAACATTTCCATTTGCTTTTACTCTAAAATGGTGTCTGGTTATGTTGTGTGTAAACAATGTTGTTTTCGTATTGAAATGCTAATATAAAATCTTGTTTGTCTTACAGTTTTGAGATTAATAATTCATGAATATTAGTTATTCACTTGTTATTGCCCCATTGTAATGTTTTACGTGATTGTTTTGTAGACACATCACAACTGCTATCTGAAGTATGAATAACAAATTGCTGGCTGAATGTTTTGTACTTTTTACAGCTAAGTCCTTCTGCCAGGTATCTCAGTTTCAGGGGCAAACTAGTCTGGCTGCTGTGTGGATGCTTTGTTACTGGAAGGAGCTTTTTGCTTTTAACATAGAGATCATCCTGTTTGGAGGAAAAAATCTTTGACAAAGGAGAGGCTCAGGAAATCCTCATTTTGACTGTAAGGCCAGACAGAATCTAGAAATCGCTCATAGTATATTTTACACGCTGTGCTTGGTTCTTTGCAGTGTTCCCTGTAACAGTCTTTAAAGGGTTTCTAGAAGAGACCTCCTAGGATCTAAAACTTTTCTTTCACTGTTTGAAAGACATGTAAGAAACAACTTAATGTCAATAAAGTATTTTCAGTTTCTGTTTGTCCTCACTCTCTTACTGTCTTAGCATAGTTGAAGCATGGTCGTGGGACTTGGAACCCATGGAGTCTGGTCTTGACTTTCATGGACTTTGTGACTTCAGTCAAGTCACTTAACTCTTGAGTTAAAGCATTGTTAATTTGTTAAAACTCAGGCAATGTGACGTTAATGTTTGAGAAATGTGATGGTGTACTACTTCAAGAAATTTTTTAGAGAACAAAGATATTTATACTGGAATTGAGTCTCTCATTTGTGTAACTACTCCATCTCATATTAAAATAAGACAAAAAGTTAATATTGGAAGTAGGCAAAAATTAGTATTTCCCTTTCTCTCCCTTACCTTACTCTTTATTCTTTGTTGTTGTTTTTTTTATTTGTTTGGGTTTTTTTAACCTAGTATTTTGGGTGTTTTCACTGCTTCAAATTAAATTAGCATTTTAGAAACTTGGTACTAATAAAGTCTAACGGTCAGTGAACTAAAACGAAAGCTTTTACAGACTGGTATTTCTTTTAAGAAAACACTGAAAAATTTTAGTCTGGACTCCAACTAAAATTAGAAGTAAAAAGAGGCCCCTTTCCCCATCAGTAGTCCTTTTTGATATAAACAACAGGCAACTGTGTTCTATGAACAGTAGGAAATGACAAGGAAGTCCCAAACTGACAAGGAAATTTAAACTTTTTCAGGTTTGTTTGCAAGTCTGCATTTAAAACAAATGCAGTTACCACTCTTACTAAATAGTCCTGTCTGGCCTGTTTCTACTATAATTTTCTAGCCACAAACATGAAAACAATGATACTCATTTGATTCTTCTCTGGGATGATGAGTGTATCTTCTACAGAATGTGTTGTGTATAAGAAATATCCTGTGTAAGTGGAGGACCTCTAGAATATTTTTTTTCCAGCCTTTCTGCTCCCTATGGATTCTCCCACATCTTTGGAGAAGCCCTTGTGATGTCTGTTCTTCAATGCTAATCAGGCTAGCATCAATGCATTTTGCTTTCTATGTCTTTTCTGCCTGCTTTATGCAGCCTGAACCTCCTTCATTTTTACTGCCATATTTTCATCATCCCTATCCTTCCACTAATTAACTCATTTTTTATTCTAATTCTTCAGGTCCCTTTTTTTGTCGTAATTTAATTTTATGTCCCAGCAGCTGAGATTAAAACGTACTGAGAAAAAGTTAGTTTGGATTGCAGTGAGTTTAAAACATTTTTTTTATTGAATTGAGAAAACTTTTCCTGCCCCCCTCCCATTTAATATGGACTTTTGAGGTCTGTCTGTGCAACTTAAAGAAGAAAAAAGAGTGAAGAGAAGGGGATGTATACACAAAGTTGCTGGTAGGGGAACATCAGCAACTTGGGCTCAAACATTTGTCTGGGAGATCATGGGTTCTGTTCACTGCTTGGGATGTGGATTCCCTTATTTTTTCAATCTTAAGCCTGGTGAAGCATGCATCTTTTATGACTAGTTTCAGGAGGGAGCTCTACCAAACTCTTCCCTGCTACTGATTGTTTCATTTCATATAAATAAATATTAACTAGAAAAGGAGTTAAACTAGTTTCCTGCTCTGTAGTAAAGCATTCAGACCACCACAAGGTTACAGGCATTCTCGCTCGCTCACTACATTTTTGTATTTTCTACAAAGCAGAATGGCTGCAATGACAGGGAAGGAAGAGTCTCATCTCAGAATATTTGAAGCCAGATAATTATTCTTACGGTTGTGAATTCTTAGTTCACATTGCATTTCTTTGCATGAACAGGTACAGCATAATGTTGCTGATGGTTTTCATTCTCCCTTCAAGTTAGCTACAGAGTAGAAGGCGGCAGGAGGATTTCATACAAACTACTGAACTTTTACTTTCTTTTTTTGCTTGCTGAGTTTTGGCAAAGAGTTAGAGCTTCCCTGTAATCTTGATTGTAGCTACTTGCATGCTGCCTGGGTAAGAAGTTTATTGTTAAATAGAAATTTTCTACAGAAGTTTGGTCTTTGTATTCTTTGCATTCTTTTGGCAAGTCAGTTCTTAGAACAGTCACAACATGAAGTCCTCTAGACTTCAATGTGACAACCCTCTGCTATAAGTGGTAATGTTTTGGGAAGAATTCCATGACCAAGGGTGACTCAATACATAAGCTGTTTCCAGGACGAAATTCATGGAGTATTTCAACTTTAATTCTAGCAGGTCTCTGTTGCTAAACACTGAAATGCCTTTTTAAAGCCTTTGTAGTCATCTAACTGTTGGAAAACTTGTTAATTACCTATTGTCTTTTACAAAGATTTATTTAAAAGTGATTTACCATCCCTTTTTTTTTTCCCCTCCTATTAGTACATGTTTCCTGATGGGGCCACTGAAGCAATTGAAAGCAATGTTTGAGCCAAAAAGATTAATAGCTACAGTTGTGATGTTGGTAAATATACTATCTTTATTTCCTTTTGCTAAGAAGTTTTCCTTTAGCCTCAAAGGTAAACTTGAGGCTTTACTTTCTCAGTCCACCTTTTCTTTGTACTGAGTAATAATAGTCAAGTTGATTAGCTCTGTATATCATAACGATTATCCGACTCCTTTCTACGAGCCTGTGTTTTTGTTGCCTTTTTTTTATATAATTAATCATTTGGAGTAAAATGTTCTTTACTAAATATTTCTTACTAAATGCTAATATTCCATTGATTATTTTTAATTTATTTTCTAAAACATTATCTTCAAGAACAAGGCTAGAGAGAGACTTTTCAGTATCGTGAAAAGTCAGTGGTCACCAAGTCTAGCTTGACAGTTGTTTGTTGGCTGCAGCTCTGTGTAGCTTAGTGGTTCATCACTTTCAAAGCAATGGAGAAAATTAATTTCTCTCCCCAAAGTCTGGGAAGCCACATGTTTAGCTTCACGCTTCTCTGTTGTGAGGTCCATGGCTCCTTTACTTCCATGACCATCATTTCTTCTTCCAGGTGGATGGAAAAAGCAGCCCTGTCCCCAGTCTCAGATCTCCTATCTCAAAACTCTGTATTAGGTACTTGAAAACAAGTTTCTGCCCTTGCTGCTTCTCTGTTTTGTACTTATTTTCTCTCTTGTTCCTTATTATTTGTTTCCACTTTTATTTTTCAAATATAGTTGGCTGTCCTGTTCTCGCTATCATACAGCTTTTCTAGTTGATTACAGCTGATGGGGATAAGAAACCCTTCATGAATTCTTTCCAGATGGCTGTCATATGGGTTGTATATTCTTTCACTCACACACTCACGTGAAAAAAAGAGTTACGTCATTTGAGAAGCAACTTGATCCTTGCTTGGAGTCTGAGCTTTGTTAAAGAGGTGACTTTTTGCCATCTCTTCGAAATAATACCAAGTTACAAGTCGTAGGAAAGTTATGTTTCATAGGTCTGCAGTAAAAATGTCCAATATCTCCAATTCTCTAGAGTTTGTGTTTGCTGAGCATGAATTCTCCAACACTTTACAGCTGTGGGCTTTTTCTGGTCAAGCTGAGGGCTTAAGCCAGGCACTAAAACAGCCAGCACAAAAATTATCTGCTCTGATGATCCTATTATCCACTCTGCTCCGACATGGTGACAAAGAAAATAACTTGCTTTGAAGGCTGTAGAAACAAGACATGTCAGGGAAATGGGAAGAGAACAGAGAGTAGAAAAAATATCACAGACCTACCTACCTATGCAGAGAAGCTACCAACAAGGTTAGGAAAAGAGGGAATGAAAGGTTTCATCATTAGATTAGCATTATTATTAGCAGGAACATTGGATGAGAGCTAACACCGTTAGGATGGAAAATTTCAGTAATACAGAGGAAAACTGGAAAAATTGTAAAGTTTAGAAAACTTTTGATGTATTCGGCTGTTTTCGTCCCCATTCTACACAAAGCTAGAATTTAGGCAACTCAGGAGTCACAAATGTGACTGTTGTTGTATGAGTCTTATTTTTACAACAGACTGTTGTAAATGAGTCTGTTATTTTTATTTCTTTGAATAACACAACACTGAAAATTTTTTTCACAACAGTGAAATTTTTTAACACAACAGTGAAAATTAGAGTTTCATTCTGTTCTACTATGTGTAATGACAAATGGAAGGAGCCAGGTGAGGTTTAGTGGAAAAGTTCAAAGTGATGGTTACGTTTACACAAATGGTATGATTAATTTGGCATAGTAAACCATATCATTGTAATGTTCCATCAAAGATGTATAAGTAGCTTGAATAAAGCTTCATGTGAGCTTTTTCACTGTGTATGGGGCAACTGCTCCCTAGTGGGCTCTTCATTGCTGTCAGAAGATGAAAAAACACTGTCGGAAGAAGCAGAGCCTGTGTTTGCCAAATAATGTTAATTGTGAATGGTTGTTTTTATAATAGGTTGTTCATAGCAATGCACATACCTTTCTTGTCAGACATTGATGTTATGACTACTGGATCCAAAATGATACTATGTACTGAAATAATAGAATAGCAGTTCTATTGGTTGCTTTCAAACAAGCTTTATCAGCTAAGCCCACCCTGTAATAGAGCGAATACATAAGGCTACACAGACCTGGTTACACTCTTCCTGGTTCCTCAAGTCAGTTCCTGCCTCTTCTTTCTCTAAGACTTGTCCCAGCCCTCCTGGCCATGGAGCACATCATACTGTACTTTGGAAAACATCACTTTACATGGAGTTCAGCATATAATCACTGTGTGACAGCCTTTGGTGCTGATGTTTCATGAGTCAATTCTGAAAATGCTGATTACCCATTGAAAACATGAAAACAAATAACACAACAAAGCAAATACAATAACTAAGTATTCATTTGTTTCCTTTTTTTTGTCTCTCCTTTCATCTGCCCCCAGCTTTTCCTGGTATTGACTCTGTGTGCTGTATTCTGGGTGAGAATCCTTTTTTCCTCTAAAGAGTAATCTAGGTTGGTTAGTTTATTAATTGTATTATGGCTTTAACATACAGCTCAGTTGTAAAGGAAAGATGAGCTTGTGTTTGTGGTATTTGTGTTATCAACTGCAAGTTGAGTTTAGGTGATGACCCTGCTACCTAGAAAGCAAATGCATCTGCATGTGATATAGATGACAATACAAAATCTAGAGCATCAGGTTCAGTCTGCGGACCTCTGGATTAAGAATTAAGAAAAGCAAGTTAAACTATACTTTCATCTTAGTGATGTGTACTTGTGTCAGAGAATATCAGAGAATATGTAGTAGTTTTCAGAAACCATTGGTACAGAATATTAAACTGATTAAGACAAAGGAAGAGAGACAGAACAAGTACCTTCAGGCATCTTGACTGAAAAACTGGCTGTAGTTATGTTAGAAGTAAATATGTAGCTAAAGTGAACTTCCATATTTGCAGAAGTACAGTATCATGAATGAAAGTGAAAGAGTTAGCTTTGATGCTAAGTGTTTTCAAAGCTAGAGAAGGTTTTCATGGCATGATGAATGTCACGGAGTGACAGATAAAATGAATGGAAAGTTGTTAAAGTGGAAAGGAGTAGCAAATTAAGACAAGGAAATTTAGGCATTGTCGGTTAACTTAATTGTTGACTGAACAGACAGTTCTAGTTGTTTATAGTATAGACTGGTGCAAAATGAACTAACTTGCAATATTTGCTTTATTTTTACTTAGTGGAACAAAAAAGGTTTGGCGATGTTATTCTGCATATTGCAGTTCTTGGCAATGACCTGGTAAGATCTTAAAATTCATTTTAATTTCTTCTCTTTGCCCCTACACTGGCATGTTTATAAACCTATATATATACGCTTCGCATAATGCAAGTGTGCTGAAATGCTAGCCTCAATCTGTTTTTCTAAACTAGGTTGTATAACTTGAGCAGAATCTATATGCAGTTGCCTTGCAAAAATGGTAATTTTAAGTATATTCTGTAATGTGTGAACTTAATTTGAAGCATTATGAAAGGAATATATATGCAAAAAAATTCTCATGCCTTTTCTCTGTTTTGAAAGTAACTGTGTATTCATATGCCCTACTTCTGATTATCCCCCTCTTTTTTGAGTTTTAACTAAATTTTCATTTGTGAAGTGGAAGAAACTAAAAAACATTTTCACAGAGTGTGTCCTGCCCCAAGAATATTTAGTGGCACTGGGTAAAGAGTGGGTGGGTGTGAGAGGGTAAACTTTGTGCAACAGCTACTATGATGAACGTCCAGATGGGCTCAAAGCTAGGCTTGGAAATGTGTGAGCACAGATAGGTGAATGCTTGCAAGCCTGGCAGAAGTTTTGGAAGTTACTGCTATCTCCATGGAGCTACAACTGAATGTACTCAGTCTCCTTGTCCCAGGTGAATTACTTGGTACTAATTCTTAAGTGATCCAGGGTGACCACAGTTCTTGTTTGAACTTGGCCTGAATACACAGTGTCTATACTGAACTTGGATTTGAGGACAAATAGCCATTTGTTCAGGATAGGGACTGTTGGGCATCATGCTGGGCCCAGGTAAATTCTTGATACTAAACAGGGGGAAGACCTCAAACTATGTTCTGCATGTTTACAGCAGACAGCTTCACATTTGTTAGGTGTCCTAGAGCTTGATCAGGCTGGGCATGAGGCTTGTGAGAAGCAAAGAATTATCAGCTGTTTGACTGTCACAGTTGTGGCGTTTTATTCATACTACAGCATATGTCTGTATTTAGAGTTGCATAAATAATATGATTAGATGTATATTTGCATAGTAATCTATATTGTCTTTTAAACTGGAAAAAGTTGTCTCTGTCATCTTGAAGAATACCGTTTTCCCAGAAATCTCCATTCCTCTTGAATATAGTGATAGTAAATAGGCTTTTTTTAAATTTACATGCAACGGAAGCTACAAATTATATATAAACCAAGGAAAGAGTAAACCAGGAAATCCTTGGCAGTACGTTTAGTTCTTGTCCAAATGTGTCATCTTTTCTCAGGTAAGCATTAAATTGAGTAGGTAATCTTGTTTAGTTTTGTTACAACAGGTTGCTTTTATTACTGCTGGACTAAAGTAACATAATTGGGTTCTACGAGAGACATGAACACTCTGTCAAATGTACTTTTTTCCTCTCTTTTTTTCAGGTATAGTCTGTCATATATCCCTTTTGCAAGGTGAGTCTGCATAATAACAGACTTTTGTTAAGATGGAAGTTATCTTTATGCTAGGAAGGGGGGAGTTATTTATTTAATAACTTCTATTAATACTAATTTAATATTCAGTATGTGAAAAAACATAACTTCCTCCCTTTTAACTTTTAGAAAATTACATAGTTGAACTCAAAGTAATGCTTAATATAAGCTTTAAATAAAAAATAAGTGCTAGTAATTCTTTTTCATCACTGAAAATACATTGAAGTTTTGTTTAAATTCTCCAGTGATTTAAAAATACATTGATTCAATAGTGACTTTTCCAGTACTAAAATTAAAGAGATGGGTCTGAGGTCTTAGTTAAAAGCAAACAAGCGTAGCTTCAGCTGCTGAGTCTGCTTCTGAATTCCTCCATCATTTTTAGGAGAGGCAAAGGCAATGCTTCATGTTAATTTTCATTTTGGCAAGTTTCTCTCTCTTTTTTTTTTTTTTACTCTTGTGTGTACAAAAAGAGAATGAAAGCTAGCCAAACACATAGTGAAACCACATGCAAGTAAACAAATGGAAGAACCTATTTTTTTTATATAATGTTTCATGTAAAATGCAGTCTGGTCTTTCAGCAGTGTGGGTTTTTTTTTTTTTAAATTTAAGTGTTTCCGTGTCTATATATTACTTAATGAGGTTTTCTGTAGTAGAAGTGGAGGGAAAAAAGAATACAAAATGTTGTCTACCCCTTTCATCTGAAATCTTCCTGTGGTGTTTCTGTAACTTCGGCAAAAACATCTGTATAAAGATTTTTATTTTTTTTAAAGCTTCATATTTGATCTAGGAAGGATTAAGCTTTTTTTTTGTGGTGGTGTTTTTTTTTTGAAGATAATAGTTGATAATTGCAATGGATCAAGTACTTTAATGGAACTCAGGCTTCAAATTGTCATCTTATTATTTCTGACTTCTCAAGCTAACCGATTCAAAAGTAGTATTCTGAATTCTTATAGTTCCTGTGGCTATGTGACAGTCTCAGTAGGGTCATTCCTTTTTTTTGTTTCTTTTTAATGTTCTGCTCTGCATAGAAAACAGGTTGAGCTCTGGTCTTTTCTGCCCTACCGACAGTATTTCAAGTTCTGGGCAGAAAAACATTAGTTTATATGCATCACTTAATTTCTTCCGTTTTATTTGTCTATTAGATTTTATGAGTCAAAGAACTGAATTTTACACAGGCTGCTTTTAGTAGTACAGTCTTCAGGGATTATTGAATTATGTGCTTATGTGGAATGCTATCATAAATTTCTTGTATAGTGATCTAAACCACATTAAGAGCCAGAGAACAGTATTATGTAATTTGTTTAAAGTATGCATTTATTTTGATTTCAACAAAATTATCATTACTTGATGTAGCTCTGTTAATGATTTACTCTTAACAACAATTTACTTGTTTGTGAGGGTGTTTTTTTAAATGAATCATGGCTCTCCTGCTGGCATGGCAAAAAACAATCAAAAAACCCAACAACAAACAACATGCATACGGTGACATGATAGCATTTTCCTTCATTTTTCACGCTGACTAACAACAGAATACAAATTCCACTCCTTAATATTAGTTGTTACGTTTTTGAGAAAAGTAAAAATGAAGGAGACTAAAGTGAGTGATCGGAGTAAAACATTCAGAAAAGTTTGTTGTTGGTTGAAGAAATAGGCTCCTTCAGATCTTACAAACCTTGAGGCTGAGCCAGCTCTCCATCCTGCACCATTAGTACACAAATCTTAAACCCTGCAGCCTGTGGGTTTTTGGTGGGTTTTTTTTCCTTGCAATGTGATGGTCTAACCCAAATGTGGCATGGCCTCAAAGCACCTGTGCTTTGCTGGTTGTCTGGATTTGGCGTGCTCCTCAGCCCTGCCTGTGCCGGCTGGCCTTTGAGAAATAAGGCTTTGACCTTTGCTAAGCCACCGAGCGTGCTGCAGAACAATTTTTAACACTGTGTCTGCGTTTTAGCATGTGCCTGAATGTAAACAGTGTGGAAGACTTAGACAATATGGGCAGACCTGAGCTTCAGAGTGGGCTTGAGCCTTTGCTTTAGCTGGTGCTGTAGACGTACTCAACATAACGATGGCTGTTAAGATCCTCCATCTGATAAACTGTTGATTTTTGTCTTTAGTTTAGGTAATGTTTTTAATTTTAAATACGTAATAGTTGATATGTATATAAAGAAAATAACAAGTATCTTAACCAACTTTTTTTTTCCTTTTTAAAGGGATGCTGTGATTAAATGCTTCTCATCCTGTCTAGGGTAAATTAAAAACCCTAGATTAAAATTAAGAACAGGACCACTGTACACTTTAAAAGACAACTTTTATTCCCCTCTGAGTTTTGCTCGGAAAGCTATACTTTTTCCACTCATGAAATACCCGGTAGCAACTTAATACTTTCCTTGCCTTTTGCATTTGGGGTATTAAATAATTTGTACTAGAAACAGTTTTAAAAATTAATTGGGTGAATTGTTTACCCTGGAACTTTTAGGCTTTTTTTACAAAAAAGTACATTTGTGCAGAGTAGTCTTAAAACTACCTTGCATCCAGTAACAGTGTATTCCCCAGTGGAGGCAAGCCACTAAGATCTGGGTAGTATGCATAAAGATTTCATTTACAGTTCGGTCTGAAATTTGCAGTGTGTCGTGTATGTTTGTATATTATTCATTGTATGCTTTTCCAAAGATGGAGTTTTATAAACGTTGTAAAGATTTGATAAGTTATAATTAACTGCTTCTTTGAAATGTCTACACATGTGCCTTATGGAAAAAGCTTAATGAGAATATGTGAAACGTCTGTTTAAAGCATGTTGGATTTTATTAAAAAGCTATATTTTAAACGATTTTTTTTAACTTTCATACTTACATACTTTTTACTAAAAGAATTTCTGACTAATGTATAAATGAGATTTGTAAAATAAATTGGTTTTAAAGGTGCCTAAACTATTTTTTATTTAGGAATCGGCTATAGAGGGCTGAATAAATATGAAAATATAAAAAGTGGGATATGTATATGACTATATCCAAATTTTGTTATTAAATTTGCAGAAATGACTTTAAAGCTCTTAGTGTTGGTATTTAGATAAACTTCGTTCTGACTTAAACTGGTATTAGATTGAAGTGAAATACTGTAATACTTTGCCTAGCTTCCATAAGGTGTTCTCATTTCTAGTTTTTCGCAACCAAGAGCTATTCAGTTATTCAGGAGCAAGGTTAAATCCTTAATATGTGATGGCTGATATTTTATTACAGGAGGTTCTTTTTAGCACAGGATGGATGTGCTTGATTACCAGCGTTCTAAACCCCAGTTGTTTTGGATTTTTTTGTTTTCCTGCTAATCCACAAATAGAAGAAGGAATGTATTTGAAAAGATGTGAGCAGCAGTGTCGGGAAAGGGAAAAACCCCTGTCTTTTAGTATTTGGGGTTCAGTTTAAAGAGACGAATTGCAGTACGCTCCTGCTAAATCTCGGTGTATATTGCACAAAATAGCAACATCTTTTGGGGAAGCTGTATAAAGGATGATTGCATGATTTTTGCAGCTAAACGGCCAACCTTTTAGCTGACTAGTAACAATACATCGCCAGTGAGGCATCCTTCCCCGCTGGTGGTAGGGGACCAGGGAGTCCTGAGCCCATAGCAGGCTCTTGGGCTCGTTAGTGCTGCGTGGTGTAGTGACAGCCTGGCCAGCTCTGCCCATCACAGCCCCTGCGTGCTGGTGGACCCTTGAGTGAACTTTGAGTTCCTTTTAGCTTTCAGTTCACATTGAAGATCTAGTACACGCCATGTAGGTAGTGATGGGTGTCATCCTGGAAATAACTGTCACTCCCCCTTCCCTAGCTGCCACTACTGACCATAACAGGCACTCACACAATCACCAATTACACCTTCACTGTAATCTTTATTAGTATTAGTTATTCAGATTTTTTTTTATTTATCTGCTATGGTAAGTAACAAAGTTAACATCAGTTAACACTTAGATCACCAGAACAGAATGGATTCAAGAATGGAGGTCCAAAAGTTCTGTGTACTGCTATGCTTTTATATGCATAGCATATAAATTTTATACGTATATACAAATATATGCAATATTCATATTTTTAAGAGATTATATGCTTTTACTTGTTTTTCTCTCATGAACATTTAAAGATTCATGTTCTTCATCTGCATACAGAGCACACACAGTGTGTTCTTTTGTTGGGATCTTTTGCTCCTTCCCATCTTGCCTTTGTTTGCTGTGTATGATATTCCAAAAGCGCACTGCTGATGCATCCTCATTGTGTGATACCCTTTTTTATGACACTAGGAAACCTTAGATGTGAAGATTCTGTCGCTGGGGGTTACATACATACATCCTACCCATCTGTAGATAAAATTCTGGTGCCCTAGTTAAAAGAGTGTGTTGAAGTAAAGCCTGTAGACATTATATGCCATGGCTTTTTAGACTAAGTTCTGGAGTGGTAGTAATTGTGGATTCATAGGAAGTACATCTTACTTATTACTACCCCATAGCACCTCCCCAAACCTCTGTAACTGTTTAGGGGACTTTAAAAGGTAGGAGGAAAAAAAAGGGGGGGCGGGGGTGGGAACAACAAAAAAACACCACAAAAAACAAATGAACAAAACCAAACAAAAAAAACCC